AGTTCTAATTTATAGCTATTTTTGACGTCTCCACAACCTGGAAATTATTGAGAAAATTTTTTTTCTTAACAAACACGGTACTTCTTATAGTTCTTTTGAGTACTTAATATGCCTAATGCTGCTCATTATTATTTGTAGGTCTTCGTAAATGCGTTCTCACAGATATGGGAGAAATAATCAAACATTTACAAACTCAGGCAAATTGCTTGCAGGACTCGCAATACTGTATATGCAAAATCGTCACAACGGTCACCTGAGGAAGAGGTCCCTACTTGCACTTCGAACAAGAGCAGAGGGTAACAGACGCCTTTTTTCACTTTGCTCAACTACCTACTTTTTTCGTAGAAGTGGTAGTAGGCGTCTTTTATTAATTTCGTGTCGGCTGTGCTACTCAACATGAAGATACGACATATTCCATATACTTACTGCACCACATCCCGCACGGAAATCTCAAGTGAAAGAAAGACACAGCGAAAGCATTATTCTATCACTGTACGGTGACGTTTTATCGCGTGTAATTTTCATAATAAATTATAAATACTACTAACAGTCTTCCAGACGGTACTTCGCCATCACTATTTGCAAAGGGATTCTTTCAGGAAGTAAGGTACCTGCTGTCTGGTTAAAAAATTAGATTCAAATTTTCGGATCCGATCCAACGGCGGATTCGTTTAGCGTTCGATTTTTCAAACTCGCGGATTCGATTAGAGTCCGACATGTCGCAAATTTCTTTTTTGTTTTTTTTTAATTATCGCGGAGAGCTTGCTCTGGTCTGCTATATTTCTATATTTTTTGCTTTATTTGCCCCCGTAATGTTCCACCCACAGAAGCCCTATTACAACCGATTCCGTATTACAGAATTCTGGGGTTTTTGCCTTCCGTGGTGATCCCCATAATATATCGTTGGCGGGCAGCGTTACTAAGTTAATTGGTAACCTACCAAGTCACGAGCGTTAGCGTGTCGTGATAGGTGCGATGCAGCCTTTATGGCACTTCCACTCAGTTTAGATCCGAACCACTCCCTGCCTCTTCTTGTTGTGTGAAACCCTGGTTGCTTGTGCCTAGACCAGAGGGGCGGGGTAACGGTACGTATAGATGTGGGTGTCCATCGCGAAAGCCACTTCCAGCCTTCGTGACTCTGTGTTGGCATCAGGTCCAAGTGCGAGAGGAGGGAGTGTGGTAGATGCTGCGCAAGTCATAGCCGCTGCTGTGGGTGGGTTTTGTTGTCAACGAGGGTTAAACTGTCACTTTCATCGTGAGGAATCCTCCGACGTGTCAAGGGGATTGTATCTCATACTTCGACTGCTCTCCCTCTCTACCACTGTTCGGTCTGCCACTCACCTGCTGATGGGAACGGGCGCAGTAGCTGGGGCGGCATGAAGGCTAACCTCTACTAGGGTT